TATGAAGAAACGCTGGGACGAGGACCGTGAAGTACAACAAACTGGCAACGAGACTGTGAGACACACAGGGTGGTATACACGAGGTAGTGAGGGAAGATGGGAAACAGGTGATGGAAGACCATCAGGGAGCAGGTGTGATGAGACGGGGGCAGGGCGTGCAGGAAGTAAAGCTACGATAGAGACAAGTTAGTGATTTCAAAATAAAACAGGACAGACAAGACACAAAATGTGCAAACATAAAACAAAACCCGATGGACATGACAATTACAGGTGTGAAAGCATCTCCGTCTCAAAGATGACACGTTGTAATGATCCAACATCTTAAACAATATGACACAATATTTTATTAGCATTTTGTTCCCATCACCAAGTGAAAACACAAGTCAGAGTCCAACAGTTAAATACATTTAATTATAGTTCCTTCATCAGTGTAACAAATATCTCTTGTGTCCAGGTGGTGAATCTCCCCAGAAACTCTCATGAGAGGAAAGAATGTCCTTCTGTTAACAACAAACCAGCTGCTGGTTTCAAGGACACCATCCTCGTCTCTTATTTACATTAACAAGACGTCTTCACGCATAAATCTGCACATTCACACGACGCATTGAAACATAGTTATGTTGGCCTTTTGTTGGTCAGACCATCCAACATACTGCTGTGTAGAAACATTCTTGCTTATTTCTTTCTCTTCATTAAAACCAATCAAAATCATCTTGGGCGATGCTCAGCCCAGGATGCAGCAATGGTGCCCCATGAAAATAATGACGGGGGAATGTAATTTGCTGGAACTTTTCCACACAGGGAGACAACACTGTCATTAAATGGCTAATTCAGCCCCCAAACTGCTCTTTTCTGTGTGTAAGTAGCTGCTCTGAAGTTGTTGTTTTTGCTATTTTCTGAAGTAAACGGGGATTTAGTCAACAGTAACACACAGGTAGCAGAAGAAGAGGAGGAGGTCACATGGAAAGTGTGGCACAATTGGAAGACTTGTATTCGACGTCCACATCTGGTGGATCAGACCAAGTCGACAGTTATTTTGTTTGCAGTTTGTCTTGCTGTCCTGTCAGTGTTGAATGGAGGCGATAGTTTGGTAGACATCATTCGTGGGCTGCTGAAGGCTTGTGTAAAGCTCATCTGGGTCATTTTCATTCTGTAAAATAAAACAATGCAATGTTGTAAAGTCTGACTGAGTTATGTTGAACAAATGTTGAGAATCTGTCGCCTCTGAGAGTCTCCGTTCACAGAAACCTCTGCTTTTAAATGGATTCATGTCTTTTCTAGCATGAAACAAGCTTCTGTGACTTTGAAATTCTGAAACATTAGAATACGTTACTCACTGAAGAGCCAGGAGTTTTATGTGCAGGTAATCCACATGCTTCTGGCCTTGAACAGTGCCTGACAGAAGGAAAAGATGTTGGAGTTACTGGAACATATGTTCACAAGCACAAGAAGAAAATCCAAAGTATAGTAATGCAGGCATCTTCTGGGTGAAATCAACAAAACTGAACTTACATCCACATCAAAAAAGCTCCAACCATTATATTATTAATAGTGTCTCACCCATGATTCCTTCTCCTGTGGATTAATCCCAGAAGAACTCCAGCTACAGTGATTACTATCATCACACCAACTAAAGCTAAAAGTGACATTTTTGTTGAACTGCTGACGTCGTCCTCCCCTGAAACATTAAAAAGAACAAAAGTCTTTGTTTGGACTGTGGTTTCGCTTCAAGTATAAAGAAACATCATGACAATACTCTGAAGTCGAAGGCAGCTGGACTTCTTTGACCCCTTTTCCACCGAGCTGGTTCCAGTGCTGGTTCGGGGCCAGAGCCTGACTTGGCATCAGTTCTTTGTGTTTCCACCACCTAAGCAAGGTTCTCAAAACTGGTGCTTAGCAACTCTTTACTGGACCAGAGCTAAGAACCGAGTATGTCAGGGGCTGGGGGCGGAGTTATCGTCACCAAGGAGACCAATGAATGGGACACACAAGCGGTGATTTGTGTTGTTGTTCGCCAGGACGTCTCTGGTCCAATCATAGATGTATTGGAAAACAGTACTTTTATAACTTCGGTGTACTGCGATGTTTACGCTTAGAAATGAGGTCTTCTCGTGAAAAACATGCGCTGTTTTTTCCGCTCATAGGAAAGGCCGCATGAAAGAAAAATCACTCGGCTTCATCTTGGACAAATCTGACATTAGAACGCCCTCGTTTACTCTTTTTAAAGTCGTTTTTGGTCGCACACCGGTCTGAGCACCGCGGCCACCAACAGCAGCCAGCTATGTGGGGCGTTCGGGGAACATCGGTAAATTATAGAGTCTAGTGATAAGAAAATGTTCAGCAAGTCATGTGTTTTGCCTGTGACAAGGTGGGAAGTGCGACCAAATGAGAAAATTGGTCGCACCAGTGAAGAAGTCAGTCTGGAGTCCTGTGCGGATTTTGTATGGCGCGAGTGTTGTTTGGTCAACTGGCGTGGCTCTAACTTGGCTCCTTGCCAATGGAAAAGCAACCGGTTCTTTGGATGTGCCATATTTGAACCAACTAAGCACTGGCACCAACTAGCACCAGCAACGGGTTACAAACATCTTCATCTCAAGGATACGGGACACTCCTTTGAGAATATAAGAAGACAACCATCTAAGTTAAACTGGCATCTCTATAACACCGCTTATCAGGTACTTCAAATCAAGTCTTGGCATCTTTCCCCAGAAAGTTTCAATAACTTTAATCATCCCTCATGTGGCAGGTTTAAAACAACTCACATCTCAGCTCATGTGAGAGTCAACCAGCCATTAGTCATGATGTGATTTAGGGAAGACAACACAAATCTGGAACTCCCCCATCAGTCAGCGGGTGAGAGGTGAAACGGCTTCAAAACGCCCAAAAACAGAGGTCATAGTTTTTATTCTGTCAACTGAAACAGCTCTAACTCTCAGCAGTGGACATCATGTTCTTCATAAAAGTCATCATATTGCTAATACATTTGAAAATCTAATCTTGAACTGATTAATCAACTTAAGTCACATTTCTAAGGCGGCAGCAAACCAAAGCTAAGAAATCAGCAAAGCTAAATATTGTATGACTGAGTACAGACATCACATATATTAACACAGAACCACCTTAAAGTTAGTTAACGTAGGATGGAAAGAAGATAAAATGTGCTTACCTTCTACTGTGACACTGAGATGGAGAACGTCTGTTCCTCTGTCATATGAACACTCACAGGTGTAGTTTCCGCTGTCGGCAGGTTTTAAACCGCTCAGGTGGAGAAATACGATCTGATTTTCTTTAATCAGTGAGAACCTGGATCCACATCGATGTTCAAAGTCGTGTCCATGTCGATACAGCAGACGACACTCTTGTCTGTTCCTCTCCGTCCTGATCTTACAAACGATCAGCATGATGAAATTCAGTCTTATGTTGCCGCACACTGGAGTAACGTCTGCTTCTTTCCCAACTGTCTTCACAAGAATCTCTGCAACCAGTCAATTATAATCAATATTTTAAAAAAACAGCCCACGTTTGGTGTATTTCTGAATTTTGTTAATGACACCTAAGACTTAAAAATGTACTCGTCAAAGCAAAGATTGGACGATTATTAGTGAAAAACATCATTACCTCGGCTGTCGATGCAAAAAGACAGTACAAGAAGAAGAAGAGAAGTCAGTTCTCGTCCACCCATACTGGCAAAGAAGGAACTGCTGCCTTCAAAGTCATGCCACCTAACCCTCAAATTCACAGTTCTGGTCGAAAGGAAGTGCGTGTATAGGACAGTTTCTTCTTTCACATTCAGTCACGCTGAAGTTAGAACACCCAGCGGGCACACAATACAACAACAACAAAAAAATGAGTAAAAGAAAATTAGAGGCACATTTTCAATTAAGATCTGGCACTGGTCAAATATTCCCAACCGAATTCAACCTCCCAGTCCTCCCAGCAAGCAGGGAACGTTCCCACAACATTACCTACAAGTTCTAATCATGTTTTTAAAGTTTTAATCTAATGTTCAAAGAACATTTTAAGGATATTTATCATTGTAATGTTCCTGTGAGGTTAAAGTGAACCAAGACTTTCATCTGCACCATTCAGAGGATGTTTGGAGAACGTTGTCAGGAACACAGATGACGTTCCTCGGCAACGAAGGAGGAACGTTCTCAACACAACATTCAAAAAATGTTACCGAGGCTTCTGGTGGTTTTCATGAAATGTTCTTGTCGTATGAAAATCATCGGAGGCCTCGAAAACGTCTGTTTGATATCACTTAGAACATTGTGAGAATGATTTATAGAACAACATTTATAATGTGTTCCTCAACAACATCCTCAAAACGTTGCTGGCAGAATGTTTCAACTTTGTCAGTACATCATAAAATGTTCTTGATATGTCGACAAAGGTAGAACAGCCCGCCTCTGATGGATGTCGTTGAGGGAACATGTTATAGAACGTTGTGACGTTCCTGTAATGTCATATTTATCAAAGGTAGAACATTTGGTCTTTTTGTTGAGGGAACACACAGTAGAACGTTCGTCATTCAATGCAATATTTGGAAACATTTTCAAGATGTTATCGAACAGAACTTTCTTTATAAGATGCTCCCGTAATGTGATGTAATAAAAAAGGTGGAACATTCTGCCTGCAATGTTCCCAGGATGTTGTTGAGGAACATATAATAGAATGTTGTTCCTCGATAAATCATTCTCACAAGGTTTCAGGGTAACTAAGTAAGAACGTTTTCAAACGATATTCAAAAAACATTTTCCTGATATCGAGGCCTCAGACGGCAGAATGTTGAATACACAGAAGTCTTTAGAACGTTCCCGTAATGTGATATATAAAAGGTGGAACATGTTATAGAATGTTCTTCTGGAAAACATCTCCACAGTGATGACAAGGGAAGAACACTCTGCCTGCAATGTTCTGACGGTGTTTCAGGGATGTTGTTGAGGGAACATATTATAGAATGTTATTCCTTGATAAATGGTTCTCACAAGGTTCCGTGGTAATTAGGGACAAATGTTTTCTAACGATATTCAAAAAACATTTTCCAGATGTCATCGAGGCCTCAGATAACAGAACGTTCGTTATTAGACGTTATTGACAAAGGTGGAACATTCTGCCTGCAATGTTCTGAGGATGTTCTGAGGATGTTGCTGAGGAAACACAATATAGAATCTATGACAAAGGAAGAACACAGCTTTTAGAACGTGAAAACTTAATGGTCTTTAGTTATTTTATCGTTAAGAAGAACATTCTGGGAACTGAAAGAAAACTAAAACCTTTTCAGAACTTTGCGAAACTTTCTCAGAACAAAAACCCATTCTAGCTGGCGCTGCTACGGTCCGGATGGTGAGCGAGAGTTCGATCTCATGTCATGATGTGCTGAAACTGACATGTCTGCTGTTGTGGTTTTGTGTTCTTTATGAAGAGATAAATGGAGAACAGAGAGCTGCTGACAGCTCACCGCAGATTCTATTTGCTTACAAGGACCCGACATGTCACCTTTACACAGCACCGATATAACACACAGTGACCGGTGACAACACGGCCGAGTGGTTTCTAAACGTAGGCCTGTTGGTGCACCGAAGCTCCACAAACGTCAAATTAAAGTTGACAGATTGAAGCCAAGTGTGATATTCAGATATTTTTGAGCAGAATCTGTTAACCTGCATTCAAACCTTCCGTTTACTGATTCAGATTCTGTTTTTATTTTTTAAAATGGTCCTGGCAGTGACGAATCTGAATCAGAAACTCTGAACTCATGAGTGTTTAAAACAAAAACGAATACTTCATTACATTTATATTGTATTAACAGTTTAATGCGGAGTGGATATAAACAAAACCAGTCAGCTTGGATTTCAGGCGTCTTTGTCCGATAGATGACACATAATCATGATCCAGCATCTTGACAAAAATCGTCTATTAGCCTTTGAATCATTATCAAGCAAACACAAGTCACAGCACAACAGCTACAGACATTGAATGTTGTTCTGGCATCAAGAACACAAATACATCTGATTACCAGGCAGTGAATTTCCTGCTGAGGTAAATAAAATCACAGAAAAGTTGTATAAATGTACATGTTCACCACAAAAAACGAGCTCAAACAATAAATAGCCTCCTCCTCATCGCAGGTAATTTGAATGTAAACTTAGTTTTTTATTGGATGTAAATCCACAAAAAATAGTAACAGACTTACATTGTCAATTACAATATAATATATATACAATAATATATATTTTAAAAAAAACAGGAGAAAAGTATGAATGTACATGTTAACCAAACCAAAAATGCATGAAACACATTTATGTTGACCTAAATCGAAAGTTCTCGTAGATTTCGTCTCTTGAATCAGAGTCCTCGTCGTCAACGTGGACTCTGCTGTTGTTCTGTTCTGGACTTGTCTTGGCGTCGTGTTGATGGTGAATCGAGGAGATCGTCTGGTAGAGATCATCTGCACGATATTGAAGGCTCGCGTACGGGTCCTCTGGCTCATTTGCATCCTTTAAATGAAATAAAAATATG